TAGATTACAGAAAGATTGCTGGCATGCAGTACTGTCTTGACACCTCCCCCTTCCCCCACCCCAAACAAAGGGCCACTTTTATTTTAGCTATCTTATTGTTTTAAAAGGACACTGCAGACTCCTAATACACTTCAGCTTGCTTAAGTGCTTTATGTATGAAGAGTGTGTCCTCTTTTATTTTCATTTTACAAACAGTGCAGATTTTAATTGAAATTGATACTTTTATAACTCAACCTTGTTACAGTAGCTGTGGCCATCAGACAACTATTCCTGTTACTTCCTGGTTGTTTAGCTCAGTGGAACTAAACTCAAGAGGCAGGCAATGCTTGGAGCACTTGTCTTGAAAATACTTCTCATTGAGTTGCATTAAGAAGTCTGTGGTTGGACAGCTACAGAAAGTTTGGGATGGAAAAGAAGGGAAGGGCTTGCAAAGACTTAAAACAAGAAATCTCCAGCTTCTGTAAGCTCTTTAACCCCTTCAGGACGGGTGACGGACGAGGTCCGTCACAGAGGGGAGACCCTTAACGACGGGTGACGGACCTCGTCCGTCACGCGGTAAAATTAACCCTGGATTGCCGCTATTGCGGCGATCGCAGGGTTAATGGTGCTCCGGTATGCCTCTGCATTAGAGGCATACCGGGAGCACCCGGTCAGTCTGCCCAGCACATGTGCTCGCTCTGACCACAAGTCTGAGCGAGCACATGTGCTCTCTATACTCACCTACCGGCTCCCTGCAATTCCGGGTTCTGTGTGAAGTGCAGGGAGCCGGATCAGTGCTGATCCTGCCCCCTGCTGTAAAAAAAAATAAAGTTTATTTAAAGTTCCCCCCCCCTTACCCATTTTAATAAAAAATTAACCCCTTCCCTGCCAATTGATCACTGACTACAGTGATCAATTGGCAGGGATTACATTTTACTATGATCTGATTTTTTTTTTTTTAACCCCTGAGGGTTAATTCTTTTTTATTTTTAACCCTCAGGGGTTAAATTAATTAAATTAATTAATTAAACTATTTTTTAATTATATATTTAGCTAGCTGGGGTAGGTGGAAGTTAGTGGGGAATTGGGGGATTTGGCGTTAGGCTAACTAGGGGTTAACGTTAAAAAAAGTTTTAAAAGAAACTTTAAAAAGTTAAAAATTAAGCTTAAAAAAATGTTTTAATAACATTTAAGTAAAAAAAACAAAAAAAACACACTTTACCTAGTCCAAATAAAAATTAACCCCTTCCCTGCCAGTCGATCACTGCCTACAGCGATCAAATAGAGATCACAGTATTATACTGTGATCTAATTTTTTTTAACCCCTGAGGATTAACTTTTATTTATTTTTTTTAACTCTCAGGGGTTCAATTTATTTAATTAATTAATTTAAATATTTTATAACTATATATTTTGCTAGCTGGGCTGGGTGGGAGTTATGGGAAAATGGGGAATTTACTGTTACTGCTGCGTACTGCTAGTTAGGGGTTAACGGTAAAAAAAAAAGCTTAGAAAAATGTTAAATCTGTAAAAAAGTTTTAAGAAAGTTTAGGAAAGTTTAAAAAAAATTTATAAGCAAAACAAAAGTTTAAAAACTAGTTTTTAAAAGTAAAAAAGTTATAAAAAGTAAAAAAATACATTTTAAAAACGCTCATTACCACTACACCTGGAGCAAACTAGAGAAAAAATTATCCCACGCCAAGGTTCAAAATATGCCTTTTGAATTACCCCAGGGTGTATTCTTTAATAAATAGTATGTGTTTGTGGGAAAGTTTCAATAACCAACCGTCTAAACTACTCCAAATTGGAACATGGACACAGCGTAAAACTTCAAAGTTAGAAAAAACTGAATGGCTGCGTCTCAAATGCGCCCCTTCAACATCCACATATACCTGGCAAAGGTACATACGGGGGTATTGCTGTACTCAGCCGACATAGCTGAGCAACATATGAAGTATTATACAGTCATAGCACACATAAGGTTTGCAAAATATGCTGCGCAAACTCACTTTGTATGTCAAAAAGGCAGAAAAAATGCTTATTACCACTACACTTGGTACAAGCTAGCGGAAAAATGATCCCACGCTAAGGTTCAAAATATGCCTTTTGAAATACCCTGGGATGTCTTCTTTAAGAAATGGTATGGCTTTATGGGGAATTTGGATTATATAGCCTGGTAAAATACTCTAAAATGGGACATAGGCACAGCATAAAAATTCAAAGTTTGAAAAAAACTGGAATGGCTGTGTCCCAAATGTGCCCCTCCGATGTCCACACATACCTGGCAAAGGTACATACGGGGGTATTGCTGTACTCAGCCGACATAGCTGAGCAACATATGAAGTATTATACAGTCATAGCACACATAAGGTTTGCAAAATATGCTGCGCAAACTCACTTTGTATGTCAAAAAGGCAGAAAAAATGCTTATTACCACTACACTTGGTACAAGCTAGCGGAAAAATGATCCCACGCTAAGGTTCAAAATATGCCTTTTGAAATACCCTGGGATGTCTTCTTTAAGAAATGGTATGGCTTTATGGGGAATTTGGATTATATAGCCTGGTAAAATACTCTAAAATGGGACATAGGCACAGCATAAAAATTCAAAGTTTGAAAAAACTGGAATGGCTGTGTCCCAAATGTGCCCCTCCGATGTCCACACATACCTGGCAAAGGTACATACGGGGGTATTGCTGTACTCAGCCGACATAGCTGAGCAACATATGAAGTATTATACAGTCGTAGCACACATAAGGTTTGCAAAATATACTGTGCAAACTCACTTTGTATGTCAAAAAGGCAGAAAAAACGCTTATTACCACTACATCTGGTACAAGCTAGCGGAAAAATGATCCCACGCTAAGGTTCAAACTATACCTTTTGAAACACCCTGGGGTGTCTACTTTAAGAAATGGTAGGCCTTTGTGGGGTAGTTTGAATTTAAAACCTGCGAAGATGCTTGGAAATTGCACATAGGCCCAGCGTCAAAATTCAAAGTTTGGTAAAAACGGATATGGCTTGGTCTCCTATATGGCACTGTAGCTTCACGAAATAGTGCCAAAGACATTCATATGGGGTGTCATTTTACTCAGAAGACTTAGCTGAGCATAATTTGGGGGTTTGAACTTAGTGGCACATATGAAATATACAAAACGCCCAGCAAAAATGCAATCCGTATGTAAAAAATGCACAAAATTATTTTTTACCACATACTTTGGCATATATTGGTGAAAAAATGGGGGCATGTTAAGGCACAATATGCACCTTATGAGATACCCTGGAGTGTCTACTTTTACAAATGGTAGGCCTTTGTGGGGGTTTTTTGAACAGTCAAACTGTTATAATACCCCAAATGGAAGCTAAGGCTCATTAAATCCATCTCTCAAAATTCTACTGTGAATACTGTAAAGGACAGGTCTCCTATATGGCACTGTAGCTTCACGAAATAGTGCCAAAGACATTCATATGGGGTGTCATTTTACTCAGAAGACTTAGCTGAGCATAATTTGGGGGTTTGAACTTAGTGGCACATATGAAATATACAAAACGCCCAGCAAAAATGCAATCCGTATGTAAAAAATGCACAAAATTATTTTTTACCACATACTTTGGCATATATTGGTGAAAAAATGGGGGCATGTTAAGGCACAATATGCACCTTATAAGATACCCTGGAGTGTCTACTTTTACAAATGGTAGGCCTTTGTGGGGGTTTTTTGAACAGTCAAACTGTTATAATACCCCAAAATGGAAGCTAAGGCTCATTAAATCCATCTCTCAAAATTCTACTGTGAATACTGAAAAGGACAGGTATCCTGTATGGCACTGTAACTTCACGAAATAGTGCAAAAGACATACAATGGGGGTGTCATTTTACTCAGCAGATGTAACTGAACACAAAATAAAACTTTGTACAGGAATAGCACACACCAACTTTACAAAATATACACGAGAATTTCTCTGTTATAAGTTTGTGTGCCAAAAACCAAAAAGAACACAATTTTACTCCAATATTTAGCAGAGGTTGGCGGTGAAATGGCTACGTAGAAAGTGTCAAAACAACCTTAGGTAAATAGCCCGTGATGTCTACTTTATATAAATATATACTTTTGTGTGGCAATTTTGTTTTCTTTTATGGCTATTAAGCTTACAAGACAAACATACCAAATTCTAAAATCGCTCCACATTAAAAGTTTATTTTACTCCTTGTGCTTTGTGACCTGTAAGTACCAAAAAAAACTTAAAATCCCAGACACATTATATATTCTGTAAATCAGAACAAATAAATACATTTATTTTTAATTACTTTCCTTAACCTGCACTAATTATGCACACATTATTATTGCAAAAACTGTAAAAAAAAACAATATTTTTCATTTTTTTTGCATTTTTCTGTATTTTTTTTATAATAAGTAAGCATATATATATATATATATATATGTTATATCAAATTAAAGCCCTTTCTGTCCTTTAAAAAACAGTATATAATATGTGTCGGTGCAATAAATGAGAGAGATGCAAATTGCAGTTGAACGCAAACAGCAAGAAAATGCAAAAATTGCTTGTGTCATTAAGCGTAAGTCAAGCTTCTGAAGCTGTGTCCTTAAGGGGTTAAATGTGCCCCCAATGCATAATACAGCACATGCATGGTTTCATTGGAGGTATATCTTACAAATTAGTGATTTTTACATATATTTTTTTTGCATTAGGGCAGTGGAGTGTCCCTTTAATGCCATTGGTATTGTGTTAGAACTTTTGCATTTTTCTCTACTGCTCTGATATATAATATACACAATATAAGATATATAATGATCTTATATAGGAGTAAAAACAGTAAAGCTTTTAGCATTCATTTACAATACCATTTATTTTATCAATGTTCAAAAAGAATCATACAAACATGCACAATATATAATTTAGCATATATGAACATAGAACGACCTGTAAACAAATGTAATAAATATCAATGTCAAATATTCAATTTAATTCATTTTTTGATAAATAAACATTTATGATCAGTGCAGAGCAAAACTATAGATATATAAAAAAGAGGGACAAAAAGAAAAATATTAAGTGTTTGAATGAAAATACATTAAAAACATTACAAATAGATATTAAGTGTTTACATTTTTTATAGTTCTGCATAACTTAGTTGCTGGGTTTCTATGAAGCTATGAAACATGCTTGAATATAGCAACATAACAAAAGTAGCCTTCAGAACCTTGTATAGGATTGATGTTTGGTGAGAAACCATACAAACATTACATTTATATTCTAGTGAGAATTTCAGGAAGCGAACTTCTGAAAGGGACACTATATGAGCCAAAAAAAAATGTTAAGGGGCGCTAATCAGTTAGAGGGGTTATTTAGATTTCAGGGGCCCCCTTTGTAACAATAAAAGCAAGTAATCAAAACCATTACTTTCCTATAATCCAGAGCCAAGACAGTCTCTTCTCTGCAGTTCAGTACACCTCAGCTAAGGTCATGTGGCTTGGTGTCGATATCTCAATGAGACTCATATAAAAGCATTGTGGACTTGAAGGAATACTATAACGTTAGGAATACAAACCTGTATTCCTAACATTATACGTTCCTATCCCTAATACTATTATGTGTGCTCCCTCGGGTTCATCACTTAAAGAGTTAGAAAACCTATTTTACTATACTTACCTTGTTTCCAGTATAGAGGCTCCCTCAATGCTGCTCACCTCTCCTACAGAGGCTCAGTCATGAAAGAGGCAGGGTCTAGTCCAGCAGGGTCCAATCCAATCACCTCACGCAGAGTCTTTGTCATAGGAATGCATTCAATCGATGCTTTCCTATGGGGGTTCTGTGTCACGTAACCTAGTCTTACTCGGTCTGTACCGCGGAAGAGCTTCAATAATGCTCTTAGAGCCATAATGCTGTCAAAGCATGAACGGATATGTAGTCTACAACATCTAGAGTGCCGAAGGTTGCCTCCACCTGATCTAGTGTAGATGTGTTAAGCTCCATCCCATATAACACTGGGGAATGTTTTACATTTCGCAAGCAAAACAGCAGGGCCACTGCACCGAGACCACTTTATTGATGCCACCAGGAGCTTTGCATACCTATAATATGACTATTTAACCATTGTATTTATCTTTTTTTTTCACAGATACTGTATGTGACAAGATAATATTTATTCTTCTAAGGAAATAGAATAGAACCTGTCTGAAATATTGCAAGAAAGCAATACCAAATGATCACTAAAAACTGTTTAGATTTACATAACTGTATTTTCTTAGTATTCCTGAATAGCAATCTATAAGTGAAATTGCTGTTGTTTTCAATGTTTATATACTAGCTATGTATGCCATGTTTTAAATACATGTTATGCTTTTTTATTAAATTAAAATAATGTATAATAGAAGTTGATTGAATTTAACCTTTTGTGGATTTTGATGCCAGAGTTTTATGTAATTTGTTTTGCATACTGGGTTGAAAACTTATATGAGATATACAATATTGCTTTTCCACACAAATATGACACTAAGAAAATGTAAAAATGTCAGCTTTTTACAGAATAGGTTTCAAACTTCGGTTTCAATGGTTTTATGATATTTCTAAATCACATACAATGAAACATTGTACATTATAAGAGGAAAAAATGTCTGTGGCATGTCAGAAAACTATGCATATGCATCAACAAGTAAAAGGAAACAATCAAATGAATAAACAGGTAGATCCATATAAGGTCTTTGAATAGTATTGACCACCTTTAAATTTTCCCCATTTAATAGTGCTACAGCCATAAAATAAAATCTTTTAGGGTTATTTTTTCACCATTTGATTTACACAAATTACCTAAAACAGGATCATTGACATGATCATACTGTAATGAATTAAGGGATTGACCTAACCCTGGCCATTAATGAGTTAAGTAACCATTTTGCACCTTAAATGCATTAGACATTTTGAATAAATCAAATTGTGAGAAACCCAATAAATCCATTTTAATTGGAAGATTGAAAGTTACAAAATATATACATAACCAAAGGAGGTGGACAACTATACAATACACTTTAGATCTAATTTAAATGTTACCAATCAGAATAGAATAATTGCATAGTTTTAAATCCAACAAGATTATTATAAGAATACATTGATCACACTTTTTTTTTCTCTAAAGAAAAGGCATATGCCTTGTAGTTTAGTTGCTTAAAAACAACTGGTAAAAGTCAATTCAACTGTATAGCATATCTAGAAAGATTCTACTTATAACATAGTTTGTATCTATCCATGAAGATGGCTATTTCTTATGAAAAATATAAAATACAGCCCATGTATAGAAAACATTGAATTTACTATACTTTGCTTTCTCATAATCTAAAAGCTCCAAACAAATTGCCATCTCTTAACTGTGTACTAATCCACTGAACATGGCTTGTTTCAACAGATACATTGTCAAACACATTTAAGTCTACTTGCAAGTTAAAATGCTGGTCTCTGAAGATCTTGCAGTCTTTACTGCAGTTGTTTTGTCTTGTAATAGTGTGCAGCACTATATGTTTTGGTTTTCCATTCACGTTTAGGCTTGTCTTTAAATCTTCATTTCCGTCTGTGCAGCTCTCTATAGTGAAGTGAAGGTGGCAATAGACATAATATAAGCCTTTTGTTAATATAGTCAGATTTCCATTTTGATATTCCACACCTTCAAGTATACCATCCCTGTTCCACATGAGTGTTTTAGATTTAGAATCTTCGATAATCATCACTAGTAAAATAAAAAAATAAAAATAAAAAATCAGTCAAAATTTAAGGTCTATGGAAATCAGAGCTTGGATGATGTAGAATAGCTCTCATTGAGTCACAGCATTGGGGGAGCAGAAGTCATGGACCTCATCTTTCTAAACTTAAACACTCCCATTGTATATATTTTTCATTTGTGACTGCAACCTAATTCTAACAAACTTACAGCCCAAGAGATGCAGTTTGTATTGAATGCTATGTTGGTCTTCCAAACATTTTAGTATATAAAAGCTTGCCTGGACTCTCATCCCTACAGACTCAGTATTTCCTTACAAATTTCTAGAGGCACCATGTGCATAATAAGATTTGTCTTTTGGTGCATATATTAGAATGTCATTTAAACCACAAAAAGGGATTAATATTGATAACTATAACAATGTTTCCATTTAAATCTGTAGTATACTGCTGTAATTTTGTGTACATGCATTTTTTTCCCCAATCAGTGAATGTATTCCACCAACATTTTTTGTAGATATAGTTAATAATTTGACATAAGTTGGTTGGAAATGTTTCAATTGGATAAACAAATGTTTGCTCTATCTACCCTCTCTCTCCATCTTTTGCCCCTCCTATCTGTAAAAACCTTAATTTCTGTATCTTATCTCCATCTTTGTTTCTTAGGCATCAAACCCAACTCACTGCTAAACTCAGACTTCTCATTTTGTCTGAGCACTACCCACACACCCACCAACCATGATCCTTGTAAATGTATACCATGTCTCTTCAGCTACTTCAGATCTTACTCTATTATCCCCTCATTCCCTTTACATAGTTACATAGTTACATCCCTTGACCCGTCCACCCCCTCTAACTACCGTCCCATATCCCTGCTCCCTTTTTCCTCAAAGCTTCTGGAAAGACTCGTCTTTACCCGTGTGTCTCATTTCCTCAATTCCAACTCTCTCCTTGACCCCCTTCAATCTGGCTTCCGCCCTCTCCACTCTACAGAGACTGCCCTTATCAAAGTTACTAACGACCTAATCGCAGCTAAATCCAAAGGCCACTACTCCATACTAATTCTTCTTGACCTCTCGGCGGCCTTTGACACCGTTGATCATGCTCTCCTTCTTCAAACTCTGCAATCGCTTGGTCTCTGTGACTCTGTCCTCTCGTGGTTTTCCTCTTATCTCTCCCAACGCTCATTCAGTGTCTCTTTTTCTAATGATACCTCCTCCCCTCGCCCTGTCTCGGTTGGAGTCCCCCAAGGCTCCGTCCTTGGTCCCCTTCTATTTTCTCTTTACACTGCCTCTCTTGGCAAACTTATTACCTCATTTGGTTTCCACTACCACCTATACGCTGATGACACCCAGCTATATCTCTCCACCCCGGACCTCTCCCCTGCTGTCCTGCAACGTGTCACTGCTTGCCTTTCTTCCATCTCTGACTGGATGTCCTCCCGCTTTCTGAAACTCAATCTCTCAAAAACTGAGCTCCTTGTCTTTCCTCCTCCTAATACTGATCCTCCTCTCTCGCTCTCCCTTCAAGTTTGTGGTACCAACATCAGCCCATCCTTGCAAGCGCGCTGTCTTGGCGTCATACTTGACTCTGGTCTCACCTTTGAGCCTCACATCCAGCATGTTGCCAAATCCTGTAGATTCCATCTTAAAAACATAGCCCGCATCCGCCCCTTTCTTGCACCAGATACTACCAAGGAGCTTGTCCATGCTCTAATAATTTCACGCATGGATTATTGTAACCCTCTCCTGCTTGGTCTTCCCAAAAGCCGTACTGCACCCCTACAGTCTGTAATGAATGCTGCTGCTAGACTGATTTTCCTCTCTAGTCGGTTCTCTCACACCTCACCCCTCTGCCAGTCCTTACATTGGCTTCCTGTGTGCTATAGGAGTCAATTCAAGGCACTAACTCACACCTATAAAGCACTGAACAACTCTAGCCCCTCTTATATCTCCTCACTGATCCACAGGTATGTCCCTTCTCGGTCTCTCCGCTCTGCCCGTGACCACCACCTGTCCGTTGTCCGCACCCGTACGGCCAACTCGCGCTTGCAGGACTTCTCGCGGGCGGCTCCCTTCCTATGGAATAGCCTGCCTACCGCCATCCGACTCTCCCCTAGTCTTGCATCTTTTAAGAAGTGCCTTAAAACCCATCTCTTTAGGAAAGCTTATGGCCTCCAAGACTAACCCCTACCTCACATACCCGTCTCTTGCCCTCTCCTAAAGGGCTGCCCACCTTATTTGATTGCACATTCCTGTCCTAATGTGTTTTACACCCCACCTCCTATAGAATGTAAGCTCGATTGAGCAGGGTCCTCTTCAACCTATTGTTCCTGTAAGTTTATTTGTAATTGTCCTATTTATAGTTAATTCCCCTTTCATAATATTGTAAAGTGCTACGGAATCTGTTGGCGCTATATAAATGGCAATAATAATAATAATAATAATAGCTGAAAAGAGACTTGCATCCATCAAGTTCAGCCTTCCTCACATATGTTTTTGCTGTTGATCCAAAAGAAGGCAAAAAACCTAGTCTGTAGTGCTTCCAATTTTGCAACAAACTAGGAAAAGAAAAAATCCTTCTTGATCCCAAAATAGCAGTCAGATGTCTCCTTGGATCAAGCAGCTATTACCCCATTAATTAGAAATTATATCCCTGTATGTTATGTTTTTGTAAGTATTTATCCAATTGCAGTTTAAACATCTGTAGTGACTCTGACAAAACCACCCCTTCAGGCAGAGAATTCCAGAGTGGCAAAATTATAATTTCATCCTGAGAATTTATGACTGTGACGAGACCAATCTCGCCACATTACATTGGAGAAGCCTGGTTGCTCGCCTGCTGCCTCTGGACTATGGCCCCCTTTTAAAAGACTTTATTTTGCCTGGAGAAAAGCTGTATTCGTGATTTTCTGCCAGTTGTTCGGTAGATTCAATCTACCGAACAACCGCACGAATGAATAGACCACCTGGGAGCTGAAGTGTGCCGGCAATTAACCTCCCTGAAGCTGCGGTTAACCGCAGCTTAATTGACGAATGCTGGGTGGCCGCCATTCGTATCTCGAACACGAGGTCGCGGCCATTTTAAACATACGAATGCACAGCGGTGTTCGCCCCTATTTTCATGGAACTAAAATCGGACACAGTTTTGCGCGAACACCGCTGAAGCCGCCGACCTCCCTTCTTGTTCGGTGGAAGTGCACGAACGGCCCGGTGTTCGGTAGTTTTGGTTGAATGTGTTATACCCCAGATAGGAATCCCATGGAGCCCATTCGTATGAAACTGACTGTAAAGACTTTGGCTCCATGGCGATTAAACTGTATTCATGTGGTCTGAGCGCCATTCGCTTAATAATGTGCACTCAGACCTGAGCTATCTGGGGATATGTTACATGTCTGTGTTTTATGTAATAAATGCTACTTTATGTATTTTAAAGTATAATACTGGTTTTGTATCCCCACATCTGTAATGGAGTTTTGCCTTTGTCTTGGGAGATAATTGAGTTACTTCTCAATTATCTCCCAGGGCAGAGGGGAGGAAGCCAGGATGCATTGTGGGAATATACTGTGACTGTGTGTCCTATTTGTCTACTTGTCTGTCCCTTGTCACAGTCTCCCTTTCGGTCCCCTAGGGGAGTGTCCACCAGGTGGGAGACCTGCATAAATACTGGGCAGGTAGCCCCCATTAAACAGACCACTGCTTGACCCTCAACACAGAGCTCTGTCTCGTCTTTGGGGGGATTTACTGAATGCTGCTAAGGACTGATTGCCAGGAGTGTAAGCCACTTGGGAGCTTTTCCTGTTCGTCTGTTAGCAGCTATTCGTGAGGTTCCAGTTCAGGAGTTTGGAGTGCTACCTTATTCCCTTGTATGCAGTTCGGATGTTTGGTGCATTCACTTGTATTCAATTCGTGAGTTTTGGGTGATTCTACAGTAGCTGTGCCTGTCTCTGAAAGGGGATTATCGTCTAAGCGGTTTTTCCCCTTTTGTGCAAAACGGTCCGTTACAATGACCCTATTTATACATGACAAAACCTTACTGGCCTTAGCAACTGCAGATTGACATTGCATATTGATGCCTAATTTGTTGTCTATAACTATTCCCAAATCCTTCTCGTGTGTGGTTATCCCTAATTCACTACCATTTAGGGTGTAAGTTGCTTGACCCCGAAGTGCATAACTTGGCATTTTTCTACATTAAATTTCATCTACCATTTTTGTGCCCAATCTATCCAAATCCCTCTGCAGCAAAGCAATATCCTGCTCACATTTTATTACTTTACAGAGTTTTGTGTCATCTGCAAACACCGAAACATAGCTTTCAATGCCCATTTCAAGATCATTTATAAATATGTTAAAAAGAAGCTGTCCTAAAACAGAACCCTGAGGGACACCACTTACCACTTTTGTCCAGCCTGAAAATTTACCATTAATTACAACTCGTTGTACTCTATCCTTAAGCCAATGTTCTAATCAAGAACAAAAATATTCATCCAGACTAATTTCCATTAGTTTAAAGTAACCTATTGTGAGGAACCGTATCAAATGCCTTGGCAAAATCAAAGTAGATCACATCCACTGCAACACCCTGATCTATACTTCTACTTACTTCTTCATAGAATGCAATTAGGTTAGTTTGACATGACCTATGTTTCATAAAACCATGCTGATTAATGCGAATAACAAAGTTCTTCCCAATGAATTCCTGAAAATTATCCCTTAATAGCCCTTCAAATATTTTCCCAGTTACATAAATTAAGCTCACAGGTCTATAATTTCCAGGCAAGGATTTTGAACCCTTTTTAAATATAGGAACAACATCTGCCTTCATCCAATCCTCCGGTACAATACCTGAAACAAAAGAATCTTGAAAAATTAAATACAGTGGTTCACTTATTTCCCTACTTAGATCCTTAAGTACTTGTGGGTGAATACCGTCAGGCCCTGGAGCTTTATTTACATAAATTTTCTCTAACAGCTGTAGCACCTTGTCTTGAGTTATCCAATCTTAAGTTATCTGCAAGTTTTTTTGCAGCAATCATTTGCATATCGCTTGCCATAGGATCCTCATTAATATATACTGAAGAAAAATAGTTATTTAAAATTTCTTCAAACTTCATTAACTAACAGACCTATCTCTGTTTCCAGTGTACCTACACTTTCATTTTTTGTTTTTTTAGAATTGATGTACTTGAAAAATCTTTTGGGGTTGGTTTTGCATTCTTTGGCTATCAATTTCTCATTTTCTAGTTTAGCCACTTTAATTGCCTTATTGACTTCCTTATATCTTAAATAGGATGCCTCTGATTTTTCTGATTTAAATGCCCTTTTCTTATTTTTAATCTCTTATATTACTTCTCTACTAAGCCACATTGGTTTCAATTTGTTTCTTTTATATTTATTACCCAACGGTACATACTGAGAAATGTACCTTTCTAATATTTGTTTAAATAGTTTCCATTTATCCTCAGTGTTTTTTTCACTAAGGAGTTTATGTCAGTCGATATGTTGGAGAGCTTCCCTAATCTTATTGAAATTAGCTTTTTAAAAATTATACATTTTAGTATACCCCACGTGCTTTTGCGTTTTTGAGTTTATTTAAAAAATTACCATATTGTGATCACTATTTCCCAAATGCTCCTCTACTTGAATGTTGGTCAAAAGGTCAACATTGTTTGTTATAACGAGATCCAGACAAGCATCCTTTCTAGTTGGTGCTTTTACCAGTTGTGACATAAAGGTGTCATTTAACACATTCAAAAACCGGATTCCCCTTGCTGAAGTACTAGTCACTGTATCCCAATTTATGTCCGGGTAATTAAAATCTCCAATAATGAATGTGTTACCCGATTTGCAGCTTTCCCAATTTGCTCTAACAGCTGTTCTTCCTCATTAATATTTAAATTAGGTGGTTTATAACATATCACAACCAATAACTGATTTCCCTTTGTTTGCCCCAAGCAGATATCTACCCATAAAGCTTCCACATTTTCCTCGTCACACGCCACATGCCTAAGATTTGAATTTAACTCATGGTTGACATACCCCACCACCCTTCTTGTTTTTCCTATCCTTCCTAAATAACGAGTACCCATTTAAGTTAACTGCCCAGTCATGTGTCATCCCACCATGTTTCTGTTATGCCTATTATATCATATTGTTTAGTGTATACTATTGACTCTAGTTCCCCCATTTTGTTATATAGGCTCCATGCATTAGTAAGCATACATTTAATATTGTCATGAGTCTTATCTCCTCCCTCTCCAGTACCTTTCCCCACTAAACTCTGCTCAGTGAGAAGCAGACTCCTCTCAAGATTATAAACCTCCCTCAGTGTTACAATTTACGTCTCCAGATTTTTAATCTGAGCTTCCAGAAAAGCCACTCGCTCACACCCACCACAGAGATATGGACCCTGGACAGATTCATCCAGGCATGCATACATGCAGCATGATGTGCACTGAGTAAAACTCGCAATCTTGCTAGCACTCATCCCCAGTTACCAAAAACACAAGTAAGCAAAACAATAATTACCCTTTTGGTTTAAACTCGCTTATAGTTTCAACTCCTGTTGTTTTAACTCCTACTTAAAAGAGACTACTTGAAATAGCCTAGTTTCAAGCAAACTCCAGTGAGCAAGCTCTTTGAGTCAGTAGTGAGTTGATATTGGCAATACAAATCCCACACAGTTGGAAATTAAGGGGCACTCCCCCTAATTAGCTCAGCAGCAACATCACCCACAAGAAGGGCAATATAAACAACGAGAGGAAAAAAAAAATTGGAAAAACGTTTATTAAAAATAAAAATAGCAAGGAGAAAATTATAAATAAAAAAGGACAATTTTTAAATTATATATATATATATATATATATATATATATATATATATATATATATATGAAAAAGAAAAAGGTTTTAAATTAAAAACAGCAAATACAAAAATATAAATTTGAAAAAGACACAAGTTATAAATAAAATCAGCAAAGATTAAAAATATCTATAAAAAGATGGAAAATAGTTTTAGTTAAAAAATTTTTTTTTTAAATAAGTAAAAATTAAACCTGCTTTTTCACTTGGTATGAACCAATACCAACCACAGTCCACCAGTTCCCCACAAACTCCTGTTGTTTTAGCTTCTACTTAAAAGCCTACTTTCAAGCAAACTCCGGTGAGCAAGCTCTGTGAGTCAGTAGTGAATTTATATCGGCAATACAAATCCCACACAGGTGGAAATTAAGGGGCATCCCCCTAATTTACCTTTGACCAGTGGCTGCAACTTTCCTTTCATTTTCTCTGGCCATTACTTCCAAATTCTTCCTTCTACCTCTTGTCTCAAATCATAAATTTTAGATTGTAAGCTCACACTTTCTAACTTTGAATAAAAACCTTCAATGGCTAGATCTCAGCTCACAGACATGACCCTCTTTACATTTTGTATTGATCTGTGTATATTATACTGTTCTTTACCACCAATTATACAGTGCTGAAGCCAGTGGCAGAACTACCAGGGCCCACACGCCTTGGGGGACCCATCCGGTGGCCTCTGCACTAAGAGCTACCTGATGGAAATTACTACTAAACAGGGGCCCGGTCAGGAGCCGCGACCCTTTTAGAGTCTGACCGGGCCCCTGCAAGGTTGGCGATACTGTGAGGAATTCTGTCAGGTACCCCCAGGCAGGTCTCATCGGGGACCAGATCGGGTGCTGCGGCCCTTTGGCAGCATGACCAGGACCCTTTAATATGTGCAGAGAATGCTGGGAGGGAGTATCTGTCACTTTCTCCCAGCTTAAAGACGGTGCGGGCTAGGAGACAGAAAAGGCACAGAGAGGGAGCTCTGAAGGCAGTCAGCTGCAGACTCCCAGGAAGTCAGCCCAGGAAGTCACCTCCCCTGCAACTAAAAGGTATGGAAGCAGGGGGATGATTAACAATATGTGTGTAGCAGTGTGTATGTGTGCATCTGTGAGTGTCAGTGAGTGTCTCAGTATGTGCCAGTTTGTGTATGTATCTGTGCCAGTGTATATGTGAAGCTATGTGTAACTGTGTGTTTATATGAGTGTCAATGTGCATCTTTGTGTGTGCCAGTGCTTGTATGTGTATGTGCCAGTGTGTATCTGTGCCGTTGTGTCTTTGTGTGTGTGTGCCAGTGTGTTTTTGTAGGTATGTGTATCTCTGTGTGTCAGTGTCTGTGTGTGCAGCTGTGAGTGTTGGTGTGTATGTGTGTGTGTATTTGCGTATCTGTGTGCCATTGTGTGTATGTACATATATTTGTGTCTGTGTGGAGGTACATGTTTGTATGTGTGCCAGGGTGTATGTGCCTGTGTAGGTATATTTGTATCTATGTGTGTATCAGTGTGTGTGTGCCAATGTATGTGTCTTAATGGTAAGATATGCATTTTTGCTTATGATACAAAGATTTGCAACATGGTTGATGTTCCAGGAGGGATAAGCCAAATGGCAAATAATTTAGGTAAACTAGAAAAATGGTTAGAGCTTTGGCAACTGACATTTAATGTGGATAAGTGCAAGATAATGCATCTTAAAGCGGCACTGTCATGCCGAACTTACCTTTCCTCAATCTCTTCCTCTTCTCCCCCTCTCTCAGGATCTGTTCTTCTTTTCTTCCTGTCTTCTTTAGTTTTCTTTAAAATCATAAGACAAAGTAGGGACTCTTTGCCTTATGGAGGATTCCTCCGCTTGACCAGCTCTGACCAGCGGAGGAGCAAAGTGTGCTTCATTTCCGCTGGTCAGAGCAATTTTCCCATGATCCTTACCTTTCCTCTGTGTTCCCACAATGCTTCCTGTCACTTTACACTAAACTGCCGAATTGCGTTCTAACTGAATGACAACAGTCTGTTTGTTTCTTTTAGAACGCAATTCGGCACTTTATTCGAATCAGAATTTCATTCTAATGAATGAAACTCTGATCCTATTCATTGCTGTGGCTGCATCTTGCAGCCGTTTAGTAGATAACTCCCTAATTCCCACGGTATCAGGGAGTTATCTACTAAAAGGCTGAAAGACCTAAATTGGTCTTTCAGCCAAATTTACTAATACTAAGTAAAGATTACTTAGTATTAGTAACTTAAATGCCCCTACTCGCTATACCGCGAGTAGGGGCATGTGTAGTAAGCAGTGAGCAGCGTATAGCTGCTCACTGTAAAAAAACAAACAAAAAACTAATAACCCCCCACTCCCCCCATGCCCGTGGGGGCCCTAAAACCTGGCCCCCACCCCTGCGCGGTGGGTGGGGGCCCTAATAAAACAATAAGGGGGGGGGACCTACTGTCATCCCCCCCCTGGCCCCCACCCCTGAGCGGTGGGTGGGGGCCCTAATAAAACAATAGGGGGGGGACCTACTGTCCTCCCCCCCGGCCCCGACCCCTGCGCGGTGGGTGGGGGCCCTAATAAAACAATAAGGGGGGGGGACCTACTGTCCTCCCCCCCCGGCCCCCACCCCTGAGCGGTGGGTGGGGGCCCTAATAAAACAATAAGGGGGGGGACCTACTGTCCTCCCACCCCTGAGCGGTGGGTGGGGGCCCTAATAAAACAATAAGGGGGGGGGACCTACTGTCCTCCCCCCCCTGAGCGGTGGGTGGGGGCCCTAAATGAAACACCCCCCCCAATCAAGGTGACTAGGGGTCCCAAGCCCCTAGTCACCCCCCCCAACCAAAAAAAACCTATCCCCTACCTACCCCCCCTCACCCTAAAAATAGTGAGGGGGGAATAAAATAACTAACCTGTAAAAAAAAATTAAACTTACCATTTGACGTCTTCTTTTTTCTAAAATCTTCTTTCTTCAGCCCCCAAAAAGGCCAAATAAAATCCATTACACCCGTCGCACTTTAAAAAAAATAAATAAATAAAAAACCGAGCGCAAAAAATAATAATCCATGTTCGCTTATAAAGCCTTGCCCCGCCCTGCAATTAGGCTTAGAACACTCTGATTGGTGGGTTTAAGCCAATCAGAGTGCTCTGAGTCATTTTACACAGCGTGGGAAAGTTCTTTTGAATGGGGGCTTTCAAGCCACCCAATCAGAGTGCTCTGAGTCATTTTACACAGCGTGGGAAAGTTCTTTTGAATTTTCCCACGCTGTGTAAAATGACTCAGAGCACTCTGATTGGCTTAAATCCACCAATCAGAGTGTTCTAAGCCTAATTGCAGGGCGGGGCAAGGCTTTATAAGCCTTGACCCGCCCTGCGGAGCTCAGTCTGCGGCGTGCCCTCGAAGGGCGAACTTGGATTAAAATTTTTTTGCGCTCGGTTTTTTTTTTTGTTTTTTTTTAAAGTGCGACGGGTATAATGGATTTTTATTTGGCCTTTTTGGGGGCTGAAGAAAGAAGATTTTAGAAAAAAGAAGACGTCAAATGGTAAGTTTAATTTTTTTTTACAGGTTAGTTATTTTATTCCCCCCTCACTATTTTTAGGGTGAGGGGGGTAGGTAGGGGATAGTTTTTTTGGGTGGGGGGGTGACTAGGGGCTTAGGACCCCTAGTCACCTTGATTGGGGGGGTTTCATTTAGGGCCCCCACCCACCGCTCAGGGGTGGGGGCCGGGGGGGAGGACAGTAGGACACACTTATTGTTTTGTTTTATTAGGGCCCCCACCCACCGCCAAGCAGGGTGGGGAGGATTGCAGGTGTCCCCCCCTTATTAGGGGCTCCCACCCACCGCCTCAGGGGTGGGGCCAGGGGAGACAGCAGGTCCCCCCTTGTTTTATTAGGCCCCCACCCACCGCGCAGGGTCAACAGCCCCCCATTTTATTTAGGGCCCCACGGGCATGGGGTTTATTCGTTTTTTACAGTGAGCAGCTATAAGCTAGTAGGGGCATTTAATTTACTAATACCAAGTAATCTTTACTCGGTATTAGTAAATGTGGCTGAAAGACCAATTTAGGTCTTTCAGCCTTTTAGTAGATAGCTCCCTGATACCGTGGGAATCAGGGAGTTATCTACTAAGCGACTGCAAGATGCAGCCACAGCAATGAATAGGATCAGAGTTTCATTCATTAGAATGAAATTCCGATCCGAATAAAGTGTCGAATTGCGTTCTAAAAGAAACGAACATACTGTTGTCATTCAGTTAGAACGCAATTCGGCAGTTTTGTGTAAAGTGACAGGAAGCATTGTGGGAACACAGAGGGACGGTAAGAATCATGGGAAAATTGCTCTGACCAGCGGAAATGAAGCACACTTTGCTCCTCCGTTGGTCAGAGCTGGTCAAGCGGAGGAATCCTCCATAAGGCAAAGAGTCCCTACTTTGTCTTATGATTTTAAAGAAAACTAAAGAAGACAGGAAGAAAAGAATAACAGATCCCGAGAGAGGGGGAGAAGAGGAAGAGATTGAGGAAAGGTAAGTTCGGCATGACAGTGCCGCTTTAATATCAAAATACAGTTAGAACAAAATTACACATTTATAAATTATTTTTAAATTTTAACATTTAAAACTTTTAAACGTTTTATAGGCAGTAGGGAGACTACCTGTCACAGGCACTCCCCTTGCTGGAACTGCTATGGACGGCAAGGACCTCGCAATCATATGGCCCAGGAGGGCCAGATCGGCAGCAGGGGGACTCCCTGGGATGTCAGGTAAGTACCCCCATCGCGTCATCGCCAGAGAGCAGGTAAGTGGGAAGGACGGTTTGGACGTACTATCCTGCCCGCCGACTATAGAGCCGGGTCCCCAAGGACGGCATAGCACTCTGTTAATACAGACCGATTCTCTTAGTCAACATACATAATTGTATTACATTTTAAAAGTCGAGTGAAGTAAATGCACCTGCTAGGCCAAAAATCCCTTTACTGTACTGAATTTGGGGTGTAGATGCTGCCCTAACAGCCATGCAACTAAACTGTATTGTTTATGGGAATTTACATTTTGCAAACTCCATACCAACTATAGGTTGACAGATACTCACTAAAACTAACTGATTCAGTCATTGCAGTGCTTGACAAATTTGCTTGAAATCTAGGAGTCAGCAAAAAATGTTAGGAGCCAGATTTTGCAACGTTAAAAATACAGTTCTGAAAGGGACACTATGGTCACCAGAACCACTACAGCCTATATACTATCCCTGCACTCTTTTCAATGTAAACATTGACTTTTTAGACTAAAGGCAGGGTTTATATTGCTGACTAGTAACTCCTCAAGTGACAGTCACTCAGATGACCTCTAGAAGAGCTTCCTGGGTCGGTGCTGCACAGTGTGCACACTTTTGTTAATGCTCCCCATAGGTGCCAGCCGCAGCATCACAAGCACAGTGTGGGAAAATGGTGAGTAAAAACACTATTTCCTGTGATTGGAGGGGGGCAGGTCACCTAAACAAATCTTAAAAATTTTTTTCTTCTTTCTTTAAATCCACCCAGCCTCCCTACCTTTGGGAGAGCGGGAGTGGATCAACTTTACCTGGGGTCCAGTGGGGCTTCTGTCATCTCCCTGCTCCGCTCCCTAGAGCGCTGTTTAGTGACGCGGGGGCGGAATGACATCATATTCCAGCATCACTGGAAGGCACGCGAGGGAGCAGAGAGCTTACATCCCTCAGCTCTAGTCCGCCTGCCAGCCTCAGCCCTGCGTGAGCCGACTGCCCGCCTACAATCTCAGGCAGCCGGTCACCTCAAGGGCTGAAAAGGCTTACAAAGCCCTTGGCGACCAGCAAATTTGTCAAGCCCTGAGTTATTGACACTACTGGACGTCAGTCAACAGACAAAGAATGTTGATGCCAGATGCACCGGATAAGCGAATTGCAGTATGTTCGCAATGCTCCAGGGAGCTATAGTGCTAGGTCTAAAAAATAAATGCCATTAAAGGACCACTATAGTGCCAGGAAAACAAACTCATTTTCCCGGCACTATAGGGTTATTAGCTCCCACCCAGCCTCATGACCCCCCTCCCGCTGGGCTGAAGGGGTTAAATCCCTTTCAGCCACTTACCTTTCTCTGGTGACCTCTCCTCCTCTTGCCAACGTCAGCACCGAATGCGCATGCACGACAAGAGCCGCGTGCGCATTCAAACCGCCCATAGGAAAGCATTACTCAATGCTTTCCCATGGAAGTCAGCATCTTCTCACTGTGATTTTCACAGTGAGAATCGCAGAAGCGGCCTCTAGTGGCTGTCAGGGAGACAGCCACTAGAGGCTGGCTTAACCCTCAGTGTAACATAGCAGTTTCTCTGAAACTGCTATGTTTTCAGCTGCAGTGTTAAAACTAGAGGGACCTGGCACTTAGACCACTTCATTGAGCTGAAGTGGTCTGGGTGCCTATAGTGGTCCTTTAAGTGTAACATATCCGAAACCTACAGGTAAGTAGGAATACACAAGAATGGATGGTGACTTCCAAGGTGTAAAGAAGGTAAAAAATACAACCTTATAGTATGGAAGCATAGTAGGCAGTGTCTACAAAAAAAATATATAAACCGCACATAGTGCAGATGAGACTTAAAAACTGAAAAATGTATTACAAATGCAAAATATCCAGATAAAAACAGAATGTATCCACTACAAAGTGGAGCAAAAGGGTGCAGCACTGAAAGTCCCCAGCATGTAGCTCCTAGTGGACGAAACATGTAGGATCTACACGCTGGGGACTTGCAGTGCTGCACCCTTTTGCTCCACTTTGTAGTGGATACATGCCGTTTTTATTTGGATATTTTGTAAGTGCATTTGTAATAAATTTTTCCGTTTTAAGTCTCATCTGCACTATCCTCTGGTCTCTTCTCATTCCCAAGTGTTAAAGGACCACTATAGTGCCAAGAAAACACTCATTTTCCTGGCACTATAGTGCCCTGAGGGTGCCCCCACCCGCCGGGCTCTGGGGAGAGGAAGGGGTTAAACTTAACTCTTTCTCCAGCGCCGGACGGGGAGCTCTCCTCCTCTCCTCCTGAATGCGCATGCACGGCAAGAGCCGCGCGTTCAGCCAGTCCAAGGGAAAGCATTCACAATGCTTTCCTATGGACGCTGGCGTCTTCTCACTGTGAAAATCACAGTGAGAAGCACACAAGCGCCTCTAGCGGCTGTCAAGAGACAGCCACTGGAGGCTGTATTAACCCTAGTATAAACACAGCAGTTTCTCTGAAACTGCTATGTTTATAGAAAAAAAGGTTAACCCTAGCTGGACCTGGCACCCAGACCACTTCATTAAGCTGAAGTGGTCTGGGTGCCTATAGTGGTCCTTTAAGAAGACGCTCTTTAATATTATACTGAAGATTTCTCCTGAATAGGATGATGTGCCTAATATTTACTTACGTCTTGTAAGTTTTCCTTATTAATATTGCGTGTCTTTCTGTATATACATTGATCACACTATATGTGGTTTATATATTTTTTTGTAGACACTGCCTGCTACGCTTCCATACTATAAGGTTGTATTTTTTACCTTCTTTACACCTTGGAAGTTACCATCCATTCAAGCAGGGCTGAAGGGGGAGGAAGGGGGTTAAACACTCACCTTTCTCCAGGGCCGGGCTCCCTCGGCGCTGGGGACTCTCCTCCCTCTTCTGATGTCATTGGCTGAATGCGCATGCACAGCAAGAGCCGCGCACATTCAGCTAGTCCATAGGAAAGCACTCAATGCTTTCCTATAGACGCTGGCGTCTTCTCACTGTGAAAAAAAAAAAAAAATCACAGTGAGAAGCGCAGAAGCGCCTATAGCGGCTGTCAATGAGGGAGCCACTAGAGGCTTGATTAACCCTAAAGTAAACATACAGCTGCAGGGTTAACCCTAGATGGACCTGGCACCCAGACCACTTCATTAAGCTGAAGTGGTCTGGGTGCCTATAGTGGTCCTTTAAGGCTCTGAAAAAAGTGAGCTTAATACCTATTCACATTTTATCCAAGATACCTTTGAAATAATTATACTACACATTGGATGTTCCTAATGATTTTAATTTTCCCTGAGAAAAAATTTCAGCAGGAAATAGTGGTGGGATGCTGCCCTAGAACGCATACTAGTCCAGTTTACAGAGCCAATAATATAGGCACTTGAGAATGTGAGTTATCCATTTATCTACTTCACATAAATTGCACAGTATTTTACAATCTGCACTATATTATATTTGTTATCTTATATATCTGTATTCAATGTATACGATTCAATCAAATCACTCATAGCGCTAAATTCTTTTGTTTTGTTTTTTTCCAATACGTGTGTGTGTGTAATTTTATCTCGAAGGAGAGCTCTCACTACACTTTTCAACCAAATTCAAATATTTATTGTGAATACAGTCACACACACATATACACACTTATAAGCCCAGTGTTACAGTCTGCCGCTAGATCCCCAGAACTACAAGTGACATGATGCTTTGCCATGACCATTGCAGCTAGGTATCTAAAATTTGGCCAGCTCTGAATGAAATAATAGTACATATCGTTGGCAGTTTGCACATTAGAAGCAGACTGTTTATACAGGGCCGGGACTGGGAATGAGAGGGAAACAGAACAAGAAGTTGTTTAAAATGTCCCCTGCCCCTAGGATGACATTATTGCCCCCAGGAGGAGGTGTATATCCCCTGCCCCCAGGAGGAGGTGTATATCCTCTGCCCCCAGGAGGACACTATTGCCCCCCAGGATTAGGTGTATATCCCCTGCCCCCAGGATGACACTATTGCCCCCAGGAGGAGGTGTATATCCCCTGCCCCCAGGATGACACTATTATCCCCAGCCCCCAGGAGGAGGTGTATATCCTCTGCCCCCAGGAGGAGGTGTATCTCCCCTGCCCCCAGGATGACACTATTGCCCCCAGGATGACACTATTACCCCCAGCCCCCAGGAGGAGGTGTATATCCTCTGCCCCCAGGAGGACACTACTGCCCCCAGGATGACACTATTACCCCCAGCCCCCAGGAGGAGGTGTATATCCCCTGCCCCCAGGATGACACTATTGCCCCCAGGATGACACTATTGCCCCCAGGAGGAGGTGTATATCCCCTGCCCCCAGGATGACACTATTACCCCCAGGATGACACTATTACCCCCAGCCCCCAGGAGGAGGTGTATATCCCCTGCCCCCAGGATGACACTATTGCCCCCAGGATGACACTATTGCCCCCAGGAGGAGGTGTATATCCCCTGCCCCCAGGATGACACTATTACCCCCAGGATGACACTATTGCCCCCAGGAGGAGGTGTATCTCCCCTGCCCCCAGGATGACACTATTGCCCCCAGGATGACACTATTACCCCCAGCCCCCAGGAGGAGGTGTATATCCTCTGCCCCCAGGAGGACACTACTGCCCCCAGGATGACACTATTACCCCCAGCCCCCAGGAGGAGGTGTATATCCCCTGCCCCCAGGATGACACTATTGCCCCCAGGATGACACTATTGCCCCCAGGAGGAGGTGTATATCCCCTGCCCCCAGGATGACACTATTACCCCCAGGATGACACTATTGCCCCCAGGATGACACTATTGCCCCCAGGATGACACTATTGCCCCCAGGAGGAGGTGTATCTCCCCTGCCCCCGGGGTGGCCGGTGTGTGTTCCCCGGTCTCTGCTCCTCCTCCAGGCCGGCTGTTTGGCTGGAATTACCTGCGTCCTGTGAACTCACAGCTCGGGGACAAGCTGCAGCCAATCACCGATGTGAACGTCTCGGGTCCCCACGGGGGATCCGCCTCCCGGCCCGGCCCGAGTCACAGGAAGAAGCGCCGCGCTCACCGTCACCGCCCGATCCTCCGAGTCCCCGCCGCACGGAGCCCGCTCCTCAGCTCGGGGGGGACACTGGGAACACGTCCGGCTAGGCCCTGCTGCCTGACGTCAGCGTGCTCCGTGACGTCACTGGCATGGTGACGTGCTGCGGTGGAATGGCGGGAGGGCAGTTCCCCTTCCGCCGAGACATCCGGATGAGGAGAGGAGGATGGGGGGGTGGGGATAGCGGCGGTGTGCATCGCTTTGCTGTCCAGCCATGGCCCCCCGGGCCGGGACAGACCGCTCAGTGCCCGGACATGGCGGAATGTGACCGAATACGCGTCATTTTAGCGTCAATCACCCAGATTGGCTGACAGCGCAGCGCCACCTGGCGGACACTCACGGCATGGCCGCCTCCGTCAGCCACAGTCACCGTGACCTCAGACTACGGCGGTAAACACGGGGCCTGATTCACTGTGCGGGCGGAGCAGCGAGTGTCACTGTCTGATACACAGCCAGACCGCAGAGACACAGCCCCCCGGAGCTCCTAACCAGGAATTGTAATATTAATCCCGTGTTTATCATATCTGTGATCCACACATAGGCCTACGGAGACTATTGTATTAGGGTGTGCACCCTACAGCAGAAACACACACCCCGCGTACATATATATACACACACACACATATATATATACACACACACACACACACATATATATACACACTGCTGTGTGTGTGTGTGTGTGAGGGTGCTGTTAGTGTATGTTTGTGTGTAATGTGTGGGGGCCGTTTAGTTATGTAGGGAGGGGGGACCGTGCTCCTGCCTTCCCTGGTGGTCCAGTGGAAAGTGAACTCTAGCGAGATCTGAGCGTTGCCGCATTAAGGCTCGAACCGCCAGAAGGTTGGTCCTTAAGGACTTAGAGTCCAATAGAATCCTGATTGTTGCTTTTAGTAACTGTATGATATAAAGACACTGGAGGCGGTGTTATTCCTGCAATGTAATCATTGCAGTTTCTCAAATGTTGTACATTGCAGGACTAAGTAGGAGAGGGACACTGCACCCAGACCACTTCAAAGAGCTGAAGTGGCCTGGGTGCCTATAGTGTTAAAGGAACACTATAGTCACCTAAATTACTTTAGCTAAATAAAGCAGTGTTAGTGTATAGATCATTCATCTGCAATTGCACTGCTCAATTTACTGTCATTTAGGAGTTAAATCACTTTGTTTCTGTTTATGCAGCCCTAGCCACACCTCCCCTGGCTATGATTGACAGAGACTACATGAAAAAAAAAACTGGTTTCACTTTCAAGCAGATGTAATTTACCTTAAATAATTGTATCTCAATCTCTAAATTGAACTTTAATCACATAGAGGAGGCTCTTGCAGGGTCTAGCAAGCTATTAACATAGCAGGGGATAAGAAAATCTTAATTAAACAAAACTTGCAATAAAGGAAGCCTAAATAGGGCTCTCTTTACAGGAAGTGTTTATGGAAGGCTGTGCAAGTCACATGCAGGGAGGTGTGACTAGGGTTCATAAACAAGGAGATTTAACTCCTAAATGGCAGAGGATTGAGCAGTGGGGCTGCAGAGGCATGTTCTATACACCAAAACTGCTTCATTAAGCTAAAGTTGTTCAGGTGACTAGAGTGTCCCTTTAATATGGAGGAAATATTGACCCTATAAACTTTTTGTTTGTTTGTTTGTTTGTTTTTTACTATTTATGTGGCAGCTGGCTAGTAAGCACACTGCCTCACACAGTGTTATCCCTCTCACTATACTTGAAAACCTAATTTAGGTGATCACTCTCAATCTGAAGTAAAACACTTATAAATGTGGATTCCTGGAAATACTTCCAAGTGTAATAAAATACAGTAAAGCAGACAACCATAAGTGTAGTACTCAAATAATCATGAAAAGTCTTGCTACCGGGTCCAATAAACCTTGGGTGATGATATTTCCTGTCTGATTTTTGTCTTCCCTTCCACGGCCGATTGCATGCTCCAGCAGGCCAGACACTCCCCCTTCCCTCCTGCTTGCCTTGCGCAGAGAAGAGCAGGGCTGAAACTGGAGGAAGGGCAGCTCATCTTAAAGGACCACTATAGGCACCCAGACCACTACAGCTTAATGAAGTGGTCTGGGTGCCAGGTCCATCTAGGATTAACCCTTTCTGCTGTAAACATAGCAGTTTCAGAGAAACTGCTATGTTTACAAATGGGTTAATCCAGCCTCTAGTGGCTGTCTCATTGGCAGCTGCTAGAGGCGCTACTCTCTGTGATTTTCACAGTGAGAAGACACCAGCGTCCATAGGAAAGCATTGAGAATGCTTTCCTATGAAACTGGCTGAATGCGTGTGTGGCTCTTGCCGTTCATGCGGATTCAGCCGATGACGGGAAAAGGAGGAGGAGAGTCTCCAGCACTGAGGGAGCCCGGCGCTGGAGAAAAGTGTTTTACCCCTTCCTCTCCATCCAGGATGGCAGGAGTGGGACCCTGAGGGTGGGGGCACCCTCAGGGCACTAGAGTGTCAGGAAAAAGAGTGTTTTCCTGGCACTATAGTGGTCCTTTAAGGTAGTGGAAGAGGGGCTTGAGGGACCTTCCTGTGTAGTCTGCTAAACTGAGGAGAGAGGCAGTGTATTCATTTTAGAGAGGGGGCACTGTATCAATATGGGGGAGGGAGAAGGCCAACGTATTAATTTGTGGAGGAAGGACCAGTGTATTAAATTGGGGGAGGGAGCGGAGCAGTGTGTTAGAGTGGTGAGTGGGGGAGGCAGTGTTTTAAATTGGAGGAGGGAGGGCAGTGTATTAAATTAGAGTGCTGAGAGGAGGGGCAGTATATTAGATTAAGGGGAGTGTATTAGATTGGGTGGGGGATCAGTGTATTGGGTTTGGGGGCAATGTGTTGACAGTGTATTAGAATGGGGGCAGGGGGCAATGTATTAGATTGGGTCTGAATGGAGCCACTGAAGCTCCCAATGGAGATGCTGATTGGCCGTGCAGCTTTTTACAACACATGCACACTAGCCTCCCAATCCTTTCTCAGCCAAAGTGAAAAACACACTCATAGGACTTCAAAATCAACAATATAACGTCATTCGTATTTTTACAGCTGTGCAACACCATACATTCACCGTTTCAGTCCCATTACCAAACTTTTCTTAATATGTCAAGGTAGTTGGACTGAAACATCGGTTATATTAAAATGCATGTCTCCTTATAATAAATGTGTTCTTTTGTTTACTTTAAAGTCCTACGAGTGTGAGGATGTCCAGTGTGTTAGGCAATTTTTTTTATACAATACTTTTCTAAATAAACCTACGATTCTATGAAAACTGATGGTTTTAGGCCTTCAGAGGCTACACCACCTATATCAGGGTACTGACATGGTCACATTTGACGATCTCAAGCAGGGCAGGCATCTGATACCGGCAGACTTTTCCCGCTATCTACAGATCAGGGACTTCGCTGCCCAACCTCATATTAGGGAAACAGCGATACATCCCCTAACCTTTTTCGAACGCATATGCACCTCAGAAAACATACCCAGAGGACTGATCTCAACACTATATACACACTTCTGCACGGAGACGGGGGAATGGGGGTGACTGGCCTACACTGAAAAGTGGGAGAAGGATCTGGGAGAAGAGCTAGAGGGGGTAGAATGGCAGGAGATATGGGAGGCGAACAACACATCCTCAGTCTGTGTAATTCACCAGGAACAGGCATTTAAAACAATGTTTCGCTGGTATACAACGCCAGTAACCCTGTACAAAATGCACAAAACCACGACAGACTTATGCTGGAGAGGCTGCGGAGCCAGGGGAACGTACCTCCACATGTGGTGGGAATGCCCCGGCGCAATCCCGTTTTGGGCAGCAGTGCACAATCTGGTGAGACAGGTGTTCTCTAGGACGCCCGCGTTGGAACCATGGGTATATCTCCTGAGCAGGTCGATAGAGGGATGGACGCGAAGGGAGCAAATGCTGCTCCATAAGATCACGCTAGCCGCATGACAGGCAATGGCCTTTACATGGCTACAGTGGGACCTACCACAAATATCAAGCGTGATAGGATAAAAGACATCCAGGTGATGGATGACCTTACCGCTAGGGTCAGGGGCACCACCAAGACCTTCCAAAAGGTGGGGGAACCATGGGTCGTGTCCCAGTGGGGCAATGGTGGGGGGGGGGTGCGGCCTAGGCAGAACAGACCGAGGTAGGTGTAGTGGACTGAGATGGGGGCCCTTACGGACTTGCGGGCAGGTCCCGCGTAGGTAGGTGCGGCGCCTTGTGCCTCCCCGCCTCCTGCTGCCCCTCGGCCTCTCGTGATCGAGCCCTAGACCGCCTAAGGACTCTTCTTTCTCTTTCCTTCTCCATTCTCTAAACCCCGCTCTGGGGAACATGCATAGAAGAGAGTGCCAAAAAAGCTCACAGCACATGCATTAGACAGAGGCAGGCCAGGAGAGTGCAGCGGGATGGGGCTGAATCAAGCAGTCGAGAGGGTAGACACCCCGATAGATATGCACTCGAAGGCGTGACAACACACTAGAGGTGTGAAAAAGTGCAACGAGGGCACACACAATAGGGTATATAATGAAACCGTGCTTCGACACGGTAAAAAACGTGACGGACGGTGAAATCTGGCCACAGAGAAGTTACTCGCATACACAAAGCCTCAGGGTTAGCATGGGATTTTAATATAAAGATGTATATGGGCTTCTGCAAAAGCCGAAATGTAATGCCTATGCCACTGTTCCTGTCATGTAAAAATAAAGAAGAAAAAAAAAAGAAAACTGATGGTTTTGTTTTTTTGCGGCTCGCGTGAACTTAAACCTTGTTTATTTAGCCCGTGTTAGCCTTTGAGTTTGACATGCTTGCTGTACGGTAATGATAATTGATACCTGAAAACATATTACATCAAGGGGAAGAAATATATTGGGTAACCATGTTTGGCACCCTTTGGCTAACCAATTTGTAAAGATAAAGCATAAATATTAACTACAGCTTATTTCCTATTGTTGGTGCATGCAACTATACTCCTAAAAAGATAAAATGTCAATATTCTCCAAGTTAATGGTTTTCAGAGTGGCCTAAAACATGAAATCGAATTTGAGTTCATATGAATTCCCAACAATTACCACTTTAGTAAATAATCCTTGTAGCGGAGCGGCAATATTAAATCCCACGATCTCCGCTGGTAAAGAAGGTAATCCACAGTCAAGCGCTGAAAAGTAAGGCAATATCCCAAATCCCACAGTAACCAGACGAAACACAGTTCTGGGAGTCAACTGAGGTTTTTATTCACAGCATCCAGTATTTATGCAAGTCCCCATGCAAGGGGTTTCCTTACTGACATGGCAGGGGTTGTACAGTAGGGGACTTAACATTCAGACCTTTTCTCCCATCAGGCACTGCTGGACGAGAGGGATACTCCCACTGGAATGTACCGTTAAGTGGATTATCCCTCCGTGTAGCAGAACAGGCATTTCACATTAAAATGTATAACTTTTATAATACTTGAGTGATTTAAACGAATGGACGTTCGGTAGATAGCTGGGGTCTGAGCGCACCTTTCGTGGGAATACCACTCAGATCCCAGCTAAAACAACCGAACGCCGCACGAAATACACTTTGCCCATGAGTTCGTCTGAAAGTACCGAACACCGATGGGGAACTGTAATAGGGGAATACCGGAGCTACCGAACGACCTGGAAGTCCAGCGGGGTTCGCGCCGTCGAGTAGCCGTTTTCAGTTCCACACGCTCGACGACCAAACCCCGCTAGTGAGACAAAGGATCCAAGATGGCCGCCCGCCGCGTGGTCGGTAGCCGGACGACGGCCACCTAGGAAAGCCTCTAATTAATGAGCGCCACACATCCCTCTATGTGTGGGCTATTAGGGGGTAGCTCATTCGGTTCACGAATAGCCCGTAAGGTTGCTGTTTGTGAAACGAAACACATAAATGCTAGCGGCTTTCGTCTGTTAGCATATGAATTCTATGCAAACATACAGTAACAAACAGTGTAAATCCAGGTTATACATGAAGTTACAGGGATTAGTACAGACAACCTTTTTATGCACATAGTCCAGAATATTACAAGTGGCTAGGTTTGCTACAATCCTGATAGGTTAATAGCACAGTGGGCTAACATTGGCGTATTACAGATCCCCTTGATGCCTAGTCAGCCTTAGAGGTTTAGAGTTACCTATAATTTTTCTAACATTTAGTCTATTTCAATAAAACTATATTGTGAAATAAAATGTCTAAAGTGTTGAAACTGTCATGATTTCTTTACAAAAGTTAGACTTCCATAACTGTAGGCAAGTTTGCATTATTACAAATCAATGACGAACACAGAATTGACTACGCTTAATAAAACTGAAATAAAATCTAAACAATGTGATTATATGTAATTGTTAAATGTTATAGACACATTCAATGCACACTAAAATATTTACTGCAGACATGTTTACTTCTTCTAAAAAATATTTTTATTGAACATATACTGATCAGCCACAATATTAAAATCACCTGCCTAATATCGTGTAGGTCTCCCTCATGCTGCCAAAACAGCTCTGATGCGTCGAGGCATGTGTAACGGATCGACGGGCACCCCGACTGGGTACCTCCGTTGATGGATGCTCCTAGCGCTTCCTGAGGGCTCCAAGCACTCCAGCCGACACCATAACCACCGGAGACTCCTCCAGAGAGCAATGCAAGAACAAGCTCTTACAAGAGCTTAGTAGTGATTTAGCAAGGGAGTATGACAAGCATAGCAATCCCTTGTAGCAGATTCCCCCAATAAGAGACGGCACTCCAAATTGAGGGTGAAGTAGAACTGCCAGAGCTGTGGGTTTATTGTTCTTATATACACATTCTTACACATTAGTACCACCCACAGGGTTTTGTAAAACAACCAATAAACATGTACAATACGCTCAGACACTCCCACACAAAATCCTCCCCTCTGCCTGTGATACAATTACCTTACACAATGGGTTAATATAAATTATCACAGGCAGGAAAATACACAGTTTTACACAATATTCATAACTTTAAAAGTATGCATCACATTCACATTCTTACTTTTTCAGAATCAGCATACTCCAAATACACACATACGTCAAAATCATACAAATTGGTCCAGTGGGTCAAAAGTTAGATCGACGTCCTTTGTGACCAAATGAAGCATGGCTTTTCTGCCCAAAACCAGTTCCACAGAGTCTTCTATCCTGGAGATAATTGGGAAGTAATCCAATTATCTCTAAGGGCAGAGGAGAAACCCCATTAGCCACATGGTAGCAAAATATAGTAAAATACATAAAAATATATAACTGTGCAGCTATTGCATAAAACAGGTACATTCAACAGATAGCTTAGATCTGATCGCTTAGATATGAGCGCACATTATTACTGAATGGAGCTCAGATCACATACATACAGTTCAATTGCCATGGAGCCAAAGTCTTTCACATAGTCTTTCGTTATACGAATGGGCTCCATGGCATAGCTATCTGGGGTAACACTACTCACATAGGGCAAGTACCGAATGACCCGGCTTTCGGGTCTTTGCAGGGGAAAATCAAGCATTTCAATATGGGGCCATAGTCACAGGACAGGAGGCTGGCAATCAGTCTTCTCCAAAGCCCAGTGGCGAGGCTGGTTCCGCCACAGCATGGAATCCATTTGACCTCTGAACGTGTCCTATGGTATCTCGCACCAAGATATTAGCAGCAGATCCTTTAAGTCCTGCAAGTTGCCAGGAGGTACCTCCATGGATCAGATGTATTGACCCTGACACTGGTAACTCAATTGTTCTTCCTTGCACCACTTATGGTAAGTAATAAGCGCTTCGGAATCTGTGTGCGCTTTATAAATAGCAATAATATATAAATAAATAATTGCTGCGTACTATAAACACCCCACAAGACTTGCCATTTTGGAAATGCTCTGACTAAGTATTCTAGCCATCTTTATTTGGCCCTTGTCAATGTCACTCTTTTTTGCTTGTCCATTTTTCCTGCTTCCAGCACATGAAATTCAATAACTGACTGTTCACTTGCAGAGTAATATATTCCATCCCTTGACAGGTACCACTGTAACAATATATTCAATGTTATTAATTTCACCTTTCAGAGGTTTTAACATTGTGGCTGATCAGGGTCTACTATACAAACGTTCAATTAAAATGTGATTTAGAATATGACAATACAATGGAGACAATTTAACTGATTTCAGCATGGCAGTATTAACTCATGGGCTAATTGATCTGAAGAAGCTCCATGCCCATGTAATAGAGCAATTCGAAAAAAGGGTCCAGTCAGCGCTGTGGCCATGTAATAGCACGACCCTTTAAAAATATCACCCGCAAGTACTGCGGGGAGGAAGTGATAGTTAGTCACTTCCTCCCAGCTCACTTCTCGCGGGAGGGAGGACAGACAGGCTGTGAAGATGGAGAGCCACGCCGACTCCCATCAGCCTCAGCCACGCTCCTGCAACGAAAATGTAAGAAACAAGAGGGTGGCTGAAAACTTAGGTGTGTGTGTTTCTATATATATATGTATGTATTTGTGTGTCTGTCCATATGTATGTCTATATGTATGTCCTTATGCATATGTATGTTAGTATGTGTTTGTGTGTCACTATGCATGTCTACGTATATGTATGTTAGTATGTGTCTGTATATGTGTGCATGTCTGTTTTAGTATGTTTGTCAGTATATATACCTGCATGTGTGTATGTCTGATTAAGTATGTGTCTGTGTGTATTCTTGGTCAGTGTTTGAGTGTGTGTGCCTGTGTGGATATAAATGTGTGCACTTCAGCACTTCGGAATCTCGACATTTCGGCACCTCTGGACTTCTATTGCAGCCGCTTAGTAGATAACGCCCCAATTCCCACGGTATTAGGGAGCTATCTACCAAAAGGCTGAAAGACCTAAATTGGTCTTTCAGCTAAATTTACTAATACTAAGTAACAATTACTTAGTATTAGTAAATTTTGCCTCTACTCGCTATACCGTGAGTAGGGGCATGTCTATTAAACAGTGAGCAGCCTGTGGCTGCTCACTGTTTTAAAAAAATAAATAAAAAAAATAGGGACCTATTGCCCCCCCCCCGGGCCTCAACCCC